AGTACTGCGATAAGTTTGGCTCCGAGTTTTGACATAAATTGGGCCAAATCTCACAGAAGTATTATAATATCCAAGCGCACTAGGGTGGGGTGGCCAATTTGACCCCACCCCACCCCAATGTGCAAACGTGCGATGTGTGTGAACAGCTAAGAGCTGGTTCAGTGACAATACTGCGAAAAGTTTGGCCTCGGATTTCGACATAAATTGTGCCAAATAACTTATGGAAGTATTATCAGATCCAAACGTACTCGGGTGGGGTGGTCAATTTGACCCCACCCCACCCCGAAGGGTATTTTCAGGAAACACGTTCTCAACGCGCGGCGTAGCCGCGCCAAGCTTTGTACAACTGACGGAAATTTAACCATCGACCTTTTGAGACAAAAAATTAGGTGTAACTCGTAAAGTCATTGGCCTATGGCAGGTGAAATACAGGTCATGGACGTCAACTAAGACAATTTCTAGGGAATTGCACAATCTAGTACGACAACGGATTGTGAACGAAGCCACTCACGTTTGAGATATGTTTTTCTAGATAATTTAACAATTAAATTTAGGATAAAAGGATAAAAAGGAATTCTGTTGACTTGGGCTCAGGCAAAAAGGTCAGACCGAGCTGAAACTTCAACTGCTTTTAAATGAATAACTTGCTGTATGGGGGGGAGGGTTGACGCTCGTTTCGAATTTGTAATCACCGGGTTGTCAGACAACATCTTATTTGGACATCGTTGAGGTCAGACGAGGTCACTGGCCTAAGATGACCCCAACTAGCCTCCTGTTTTTAGAAAGATGCCGCCAAGCAAAGTTATTGACACTTATTTCAATGCAAATATGAAAACAATGTTGAATGTTTTGGGTCAACTTGGCCTTCTTGAAGTCGATCAGGTCACTAACCTCAAATGAATCCTTATGACTATGAGTTTTTTGCGACTAATGAATACTTTTTACCTTTACAGTATCTGAAGTGACCTGTCGGCACTTCAGACATTGAACTGGGGTATGAACTTGTTTGGTGTGTCTTACCTGAAGATCATGACCTTATGATCTCAAAATTCGAAACAAGTGAGTTCACACACAGGCTTCTCTGCCCTGTTAATGGAGCGTCCCTATCTTTGTTTCTTTTTGACATCTCAGCGGGCAAATCTTCTCCCCACCCTGTCGCGTTGCGTTCGACCGGCCACTCGGGCGCTTGTTAATAGTGGGATTGGTTGCAAGTTTTCAATGATGAATTACATGCATAAGTTATATTGTAAACACAAAAAGAGCCATTGCAGAGATGGCATCAGATGAGCAGACTGAGGGACTAAAACGGCATTCACTTTGTTTTCAGCCGCCGAAAAGTACATTGTATCCTCTCTTCTTTTCTGATCTTTGGCAATAACTTCGTCGGCGATGGAAATGCATGAGAAACAGGTACAAGTATAGCCAGGAGTGGACAGCAGGGGGGCAGCCAGAGCCTTGGCAAGGGAGAGCACAGGGTTGACAAGGGGCTGCTGATAGCAAAAGAGCCCCCTAAAAAATCGCTTGCTATGGCCCTTTGTTATTAGGAACATGTTTTCCTAGATATTACACACACACACGCACGCACGCACGCACGCACGCACGCACGCACGCACGCACGCACACACACACACACGCACGCACACGCACACACACACGCACACGCACACGCACACACACACACACACACACACACCACACACACACACACACACACACACACACACACACACACACACACACACACACACCACACACACACACACACACACACACACACACACACGCTGCACACGTACGCACGCACGCACGCACGCACGCACACACAGAGAGAGAGAGAGAGAGAGAGAGAGAGAGAGAGAGAGAGAGAGAGAAGAGAGAGATGAGAGAGAGAGAGATAGAGAGAGAGAGAGAGAGAGAGAGAGAGGATATATATATATATATATGTATTTTTTTAGAATATATATATATATACATATATACCTATGTTTTTTAGAATATATGTATATAATATAATATATATAATATATTATTATATATATTGTTTTAAACCCTAACTGGACTATAGACCAGACACCTCCAGGCCAGAAACAATTTGTTTCAAGTTTTTAGCAAATAAACTGACCAAATCACGCGTTAAATAACTGCAAGTAGTAAATCGCCGGCGCCCTCCATTTTTCAGTGGTCCAGCAAACTCTTCAAACCTGATAGAGCTTCAGAAACTTGGGCCAGAATTTATCTGGGTTTTACAGAGATAGCAAAAGATTTCGCAAGTGTAAATTGAAGAGTGAAAAATTGGGTCAAGAATTGCATAGACAATGGCGCAAGCCATGTTAGTCTGGACATATTCCAATTTTCAGTCAGAACCGACGGAGTGATACAAATTAATGTGAAGACGCAGTTTTGAGCATTGCGCGTCTCGCAATCTTAGCAGCATAAGCGCGATGCCAGGCGTTGCAGGCCTCCGCAGCCCGCACGCAAGCACACCAACAACCAATGGCAAAGTAGAGAGAGAGAGAGAGAGAACAGAGGAGAGAAATAGAGAAGATAGAGGAGAGAGAGAGAGAGAGAGAGAAGAGAGAGAAGCGAGGAGAAGAGAGGAGAGAGATAGAGAGAGAGAGAGAGAAAGAACGAGAGAGAAGAGAGAGGAGAGAGAAGGAGAGAAGATGGGTGTGGGGGAGAGAGAGGGTATATATATATATATATATATATATATATATAATATAGAGTAGATATATATATAGATTATAATATAATATATATTATATTCTATATATATATATATATTTAGGTGTGGGTGTGTGTGTGTGTGTGTGGGTGTGTGTGTGTGGGTGTGTGTGTGTGTGTTTGTTGTTTTACCCGTATAACTGGACTATAGACCAGACACTCCAGGCCAGATCAATTTGGTTTCAAGTTTGTAGCAAATAAACTGACAAAATCACGCGTTAAATAACTGCAAGCAGTAAATCGCCGGTGCCCTCCATTTTTCAGTGGTCCAGCAAACTCTTTTCAAACCAACAGAGCTCAGAAACTTGGCCAGAATTTGATCTGGGTTGTGCAGAGATAGCAAAGATTCCACAAGTGTAAATTGAAGATGAGAAATGGGTCAATAATTTGTATAACATGGCTAAGCCATGTAGTCTGGATATATTCAATGGTTCAGTCAGAACCGATTAATGGTGCAAATTATGTGACGTAGTTTTGAGCGTGCGCGCTCGCAAATCTTAGCAACATAAGCTCGATGCCAGGCGTTGCAGACTCCGCAGGCCGCGCAGCGTTGGCCTTGCGGCTAACATTAGGTCGTGGCTAACAGGTAAACGTAAGTGGTGACACAATTTAAAGTAGTACCATTGAACCCTTTCGAACACCACATGTCATGTGAAGAGATATACGGGTGTATGTTTCACCTGTGCGGTTCTTAGATTGATGACAAAAACGTATCGGTCTTCACATCACCGCGAAGAGGCGCTGGAATCTGATGGTGCAACTGGAAGACTGAAGGTACAATTTCTATTTTCCGTGTTGCTGTAGCTGTTAATCTGTCCAGAGGACAACCTCAAAGCTGAAAAACACAGATTCGCTCAGTGGAATCTTTGAACTGTACGAATTAATTTTCAGACATTTATAAACCTGCCGTTACTCGCAGTTGACAACACCGTTCGGTTTTACGAAAACTGCGACCCAAGCCATCACTTTCCTTGCTCCCCGAGATTACGGCCGCGTGATTGGGGCTTTATGACGCACTCAGCTGCTGGGGCTTTATGGCACCGCCAGCCTCTCACCCTGACGGGGAGGGCGGGCACCGCGGGGAATCGAACCCGTGCCTGTGGTTTCCTATGCGTGCAGTAGTCGACGCAGGTGTCTTAGAAACTACACTATCGCCACCGGGCGCGTAGGCTCAAACCTTTTGATGGCGTTTGTTTGACTAGTCGATTCTGAAAAAATTGACGTTCTCAGGGAGACGTGGGGTGGCCTTGTGCGTTTCGCCCTCATTTCGACACACTTAATTCAACACTAATGACTCCCCTTATTTCTGTCCAGCAAAGGACCCCTTGAGTACAATACTACGGGGCGCATTGTCGTTTCCGGTCAAGGGCTGTAGAGTCATTCTGTCCCACCGCGCAGTGTTTTCCGGCCGTCATTCTGGCGACACGGGGCGACATCTCCTGGCCGATCCAGAAGCCCTCAGAGGGATAAATCACATCACATTGGTGATAAAACTCTCGGACGGGGCCGAACCTCACATTTGAGGTGCGAGGCGAGCGTTTTCCCATCAGTGTTACACTGCCCCCCCCCCCCCGCTGATTCGGGTAGTAAACAACAATTAATCGTTTAAGTGTGTATTCGGGTAACATTAGTAGGCCATTTGCATCATTCCTACATATCTAAAAGCATTGATTTACGGTGAGTTAACTGATACTGATAGCATACTCATATATCCCGACTATGACATGCGAACGAAACTGCCGGCACCGTTGCGGGTGAGTGCCACGCACACAAGTTGCATCATTCTTCATGATACTAACATCACTAGAAGACAGGGTAGCACCGCTGAGAAGCGACGGTCACATAAACACCCTATTCAACCTGGCAGAGCGAAACAGCTTTATACAAACAGGCGGGGCGTTTTGGGAAGCATGCAGTCCACTTTTAAAAGCTAAAGACATGCGACTTCTGCTATTTTTCCGTATCCAGGAAAGACCTCGTGCCTTTGCTAATGCAACGCTACCAGTAAAGCCACGAAAACTTAATACCTACCGCCAAACTTAGGAAAACGCGTAGTTCCCCCATACAGATATCTTTCGCAATTACAAGGACACGTGCTTCAACGAAAGCTTAGTGAACTACATAACTACGGCATAACTGCGGAAGCAAGATATTATACATCGCTGAACGACAGTTTCTGACTCAAACCCCTCATTAAAGCTTCTGGGCTTTTTTCCTGGGGAGATGGAAAGCATGCAGTCAAGAGCCGCGCGAAAAGACGCGATGATCGCCCGCATGTTCATTTGTGTCTCATACCGACACCAAGGCAAATCCGACCCTGTCTCAAAGAACACAGCCAGTCACTGCTGGCACGTCCGGCTCCATCCCACACAGTCACTGTTGGCAAGTCCGGCTCTATCCTACGCAGTCACTGTTGGCACGTCCGGCTCTATCCCACACAGTCAGTGTTGGCGCGTCCGACTCTATCCCACACAGTCACTGTTGGCACGTCCGCCTATGTCCCACACAGTCACTGTTGGCACGTCTGGCTCTGTCCCACAGTCAGTGTTGGTGCATCCGGCTCTGTTCCACACAGTCACTTCTGGCACGTCCCGCTTTGTCCCACACAGTCACTGTTGGCACGTCTGGCTCAGTCCCACAGTCAGTGTTGGCGCGCCCGGCTCTATCCCACACACAGTCACTGTCGGCACGTCTGCCTATGTCCCACACAGTCGCTGCTGGCACGTCTGGCTCTGTCCCACACAGTCAGTGTAGGTGCGTCCGGCTCTGTCCCACACAGTCAGTGTTGGTGCGTCCGGCTCTGTCCCATATAAATACTGTTGGCACGTCCGGCTCTGTCCCACACAGTCACTGTTGGTACTTCCTGCGCTAACCCACACAGTCACGGCTGGTACGTCCATATCTGCACCACACAGTTGTTGTTGGCACGTCCGGCTCTGTGCCACCCGGCCGCCGTTGGTACGTCCATATCTGCACCATACAGTGCTGTTGATTCGTCCGGCTTGGTCCCACACAGTCGCTGTTGACACGTCGACCTCTTCCAACGCATTGCTGGCATGCAGCCATGTTCTAGAAGTGTCTGTTCCACATGTACTGGTTTCACAAAGTGTCATTTCACGTGTTTCACAAGGTGGCAGGTTGCAGGCCTCATAGAGTAGCGGAAATCAGTGCACTACGCGTAGTGTATCCATTTTTGTAGTTTGGATATGCACAGGAGTGTTTTGGCTGTTGGCTAGTCGGCTCGGCTTCTAATGACCAAGACCCATTTGCCGGAAGCAGCATTCCCCAGAGTTCGGTTTGTGGCACCATCACGTGGACGGTGATTAAGTCCGCATAGATGCAGTGCTCATTCGTAAATGTCATTCCGAAGGGGCACCATGTACTAGTGCATCAGTATGCATGAGTCGTCATTTATGCTTGCCATGCATATGTCTGGAATGATTTTCCAGTTGCTGGAGAGATCTGAGCACGGCGAATGGGAACAGTGACATTTCCTGGAACTGAAGTCCGTGAAGTAAGTGCGAGGCGGATTGACATTTAATGAAAGTATGATATGATAACAGGCTGGTCAAGTGAAGCCAAATTCCAATCTTTGTTTGCTTTTTTCACTTCCAGGGTACCACGTGCTGCTGCGCCAGGTATTACGCATTTGTTGAGGCTATACGGTGGATTGTAACTATAATACACTTTTCGTAGACCATAGCAATGCTAAATCGTGAAAACTGCCCCACCTTCCCATGCGGTCTTTTGGGGAAGTGCTTGCAGCTGAAGTTCCAGTCCAGCAGATTTTCACGCGATCCACAGCTAAATTTCGGTGTTGTCAGTTGTTTCTGCGGTGCTCAGATGAAGGCGAGTTTGCTGCCAATCCGTCATGTGTCACGCAGCTGATGGCCGATGCGTCGCTTCGTCACGTGGTCGGCGCCTGCTGTGAAACTTGCCAGCTGGACGTGTGGTCTTGTGATGTGATGTGACGTGGCGTTTGTCGAGGCGCTGCGTCACTCATAGGTGACCACGGTGGTGACGGTCCTGCCGCGCAGCGCGCTGGTTGGCTGGGCGGCCGGCTGTGCGGTCGGCATGGTCTGCGCTCCTGCGCGGCGTCGCTCGGCCACCAGCTGGCGCCGAGCGCGCTGCGACGCCTCGTCCAGCCCGTCCACCCACTCGTCCACGGCGTCGTCGATGACCAGCGAGCGGATCGAGGTGGCAATGGGAGCGCGGCAAAGCGGGCAGGTGTCGGTCTGGCGAGACGTCCGCCGTACGCACTCCTCGCAGAAGGTGTGCGAACAGCCCAGCGTGGTGGCCTTGATGAAGGGCTCGCAGCAGACAGCGCAGACAAGGCTGGCGGGCGGGCCGGAGGCGACGGCGCGGGCGGGAGCGGGGGCGACGGCTTCCTGCGGGGGGACGGCACAGGCATCCGCCTGTGCGCGAGCACCGGGCTGTCGGGATGCCTTCTCTTTCGCCTCGTAGCCCTTGCGGATCTTTCCCACCACATCCCGGGTGCCATTCAACTTAAACCTACGCAGAATGCCAACGTTGTGCTCGCCCTGGAATACGTTGTGCTCGCGTGGGCACCCTTTACTCTTGCAATGGCCGCGGATAAAATCGTAGCAGACGTGGAGATACTGGCAATTACTATTCTTGCACACAGACTTGTTGTATTCGATGCAAGCTCTTGGTGTAGCTGGTTGTTTTTTGCCAACTTCTCCCTCAGTTGACCCAGCCGGGCCTTTACCCTTCGGTCCTGGGTTTTCGGCGACCTTTTTGGGCTCCTGTCTGGCGGCAGGCTGTTCGCTCATGGCCAAATACATATCTCTAAGCCTGCCTTCAATGACCTTTGTTTCTGTGTCAAGCAGTCTCCCTTTCCTCAGCACACTCAAGTTGTGTTCACCATTGACGATGTCGTGTTCAAGGGGACACTTGCTTCCGCTGACACATTTGTCTAGAACAGAATTCAAACACAGATGAAGGTTTTTACAGTTGGCGCTCTGACATCCTAAGGTATTGTAGGGGAAGCAGACTTTGGGAAGATTCAGATCTTCTCGTTTTGATTCGCTTGGCTTGTACTTCTTCATCATCATTTGTAGTATCTTTCCGTGCTGGTTTTGGTGAAGCCATCCCTTCTCTTTCAGCGCAGTTAGATTATGCCCCGTGCTCAGCAAATGCGTTCGCACACATTTGTCCTCATATTTGCACTTGCCACTCACAAAGAAGAAGCAGATGTGCAGCTCTCGACAGCCGTCGTCAGTGCAGCCGCCCTTGCTGTTGAATGCGCGGCACACTTCTGGAGGTACTTTCTCGCCCGCGGATGGCTGTTTTGGCTTGCTCATACTGTGATCCACTTGGCTGGCTGAAATGCAACCAACAGGAGATCAGGCCTGAGCACTGGATGCGACGTGTTTCGGTTTGATAGCATTTCTTATGGATCTGTTGCTACCTTGAAAAATAAAGGGAACTTCGGAGAGCTCAAAGGAAGAGTGCCATTTTTCAGGGTCAAAATTGAGCAAGCACGCGTCCAGGTTCAACACATCTGACCCAGACTGTGGGGTAGGTGTTCTCATGTTCGTCATCATGAGCGGAAGCTCTTGATATAAATCAAGTTTTTTTCGCGGAAGTTTTTTGCTCGACTTCATGCTCTAGTCTGTTGATCCAACAACATAATTTTACAGTAATTTGTGGGTGGTAAAAATAGCAGCTGGCGGCAAAAATATGTGTTTAAAAGACACACCTTGTATTTTTTGTTTGGTTGCAGCATGAAACCAAGCAATCAAGTGCTTTATAAGAAGTTGTGTGCACATAGCATGTTAGAGCTTGTCAGTGCCTATTGCCATCAAAATACCTCACTCAAAACCTACGCATTTAACAGAAGTCTCGCTCACTCAGACTTTCGTCGCTAAATAGATTGCAATGCGTCAGCATAAAAAACCTCGCTACGACGCTATGACGTTATCGACTAAGGCCTTCCCAAGGCTGACTGTGGTTGGCTCCAGGTCCAGAGACAGTGGTGGTTGCGGTATTTTAAGTGAGCTGATGCTGTTGCATATTAATTGAGCCGTTAAGGTTAGTAATAAATCGATATAAGATCTTCTTCTTATCCAGAATATATTTCCGAAACACAGGAAGATCAACGTTTCTATATTTTCACTGAGTGCAAGCGTGATATACCACACCAGCAAGCATTTTCCAAGCATTTGTGTTACTCAAATGATATCGTTTGCATTAAGCACCGCCACACACAAAAAATATGATATACCATTAAGTGTTGGGACTAAAGTTCTACGACCAGAAAATAAGTAGATCATGTACAAGTCCGCTATTGACATTTCACACGACCTGCGGGCCGCACCATTCAACCTAAATCGAATATTTGATGGACGTATGAATGAATAAACAACAGCTTCCATCTGTCGGATCACCACACAGCTTTACCAAGATAGTTTGTGAAGAAAATCTTCTCAGAGCACAACTTTTCATGGCGCTAGGCCAAGTCTTTAGAACCTAGACAGGCAATTGCAAAAATAATCCAATGGAATAGGCACAGACACACGTTTTCGTTAAGGGGATACACATTAGGACACCCGAACAGGGTGGCACAAGGTTCGCTTCAAACTTCGTGCTCCCGCCGAAGACTAGGTCAAATACTCACTGCTTGACCTAGTAGAAGTTATTATGCAAATAGCACAAAATAAATGCGAACACGCAACTCAGCCTATTTATTTTTGCGGACTTGGGGAAGGATTGAGTATCTGAACAGGCACTTAAAAAAGTTGAGGAAAAGGCACTCTCTCATGGCGTTGAGTTGCCACAGTGCTCAGAGTATGAGCGCGCACATGACTGGATGAGTGTCAGGCTAAGATCAAAACCGAAATGTTTTTTATTGGACAACTTGCTATATGAAGTACCTTTTCAGTTCAAAATTTTATATCACAGGACACAGCAGCGTCAACAGACATCTTGTTTGGATTTAGTTTAGACCAAGTGGGTAACCGGCCTAAAGTGACCCCAATCAAACTTTAGTTTTGGGATCGTGTCGCTTAGCACAGACCTTGTCTCTGGTACAGATTTATGTACGGAAATAGTCTCGAATAGTTTTTTCACTTTGACAATAAGAGAGCCAACATAAATATCAGACACCTTTTGCTTCGAAGAGATCGGCAGGTTACAGTTTATTGCATGAATGCGTTTGAGGTCACTTCAGACGCTATGAAGTTTGGCATTTTCATTTTCCTGAAGGTGATAACCTAGATACCCTCAGCTTTGACAAAGGTCAGTTCATTTACAGGCTACCCTGTCAATTTAGGATCTCCAGCTCTCCTACTTTCTTATATCTCAGGAGGTCACCTTGCCACCCCCACCCCCCTAACCCCAGCCCAACCCCAGCCCCTAGCACTCAAGTGACCATCCGGGCATGCGTTTACCCAAACAATGGGGCCGGGCAACCCCCCCCCCCCCCCCCGGCCCACTATCAGCAAGAAGATGGCGGCTCTGCTCGAGGCACGGCTGTGTTAAATGCACCGCACCGCCCCAGGACTGTTCGCTGAGAACTGTGGCATTTCACTACCACTCGAGTGCCGGAGCGTAAGAGAAGCATTCAAGGTTTTTCTTCGACATGTCTGCGCCACATGTGTCGATTTGTATGCTTTTGGTGGGCCACTGTCCCCCTCCCCTCTCGCCCATGTCCAATTCTCTCCACCCCCCCCCCCCCCATAGTGAGTGTGGCTCCCCCAAGTTTCTAGCGTATCAGTGCAACAGAACATTAATTATGGTAACTCAAAATTATATCAACTTTTACGGAGGTTCATAATCATTGTTTCACCTATAATCAGGTAAGTCACGATTGCTCCGTTGCGGCTATCGAACGGGGTTTCGGTAGCAGCCTGTAACAGTCGTGTAAAACAACATACACTCTAAATACCCCAGACTGTGTATGTCTAAAGGTAGAATAAATGTTTGTTAATGGTCCGGGAGGGTGGCGAAAAGACAACACGGGAAGCTAACCCCTCTATTACTTTGTCCTTCTCAACAGTTTCATCCAAATTTTCCATGATCAACTCCAATTGTTATTTTGCACGCCTGTAACATCGATGAACTGGCCCCCTATAAGAAGACATCAGTAATAATCACCACCGAATAATGTCTGTGGAAGGAAGGCTGTGCATGATATCTAAACTTTTCCTCTGTGTTGCTCATATTCGAGCGGAAAAAAAATGTTCGGATCCCAGGCCCACATTTGGGGACCCAAATTCCATGAGATAGCAGAACCTTCTTAAATAATTCACATCGACATCCCCCTTCCTCGTAAAGATAACACACCCGGACCCGAGTGATAGGCGTGCCAAAATAACCCATACTTTTTGACATAACATCACAAATAATATAGCAGCACTCACGTTCCGCACGGGTTTCGACTTCGACGCCGGATTTGCTTGTTCTTCTTGAGCACACGACGCCGCGGATGATCTCCCCAGGCTCACTGACCCAGTCGCAGACGACTCAGACGCAGACAGCACCTCTAGACATATCTGCAGCCGCGAGCGGGGCAACGGTGCTGCCCTCTACCACAGCTGTTCACGCTGCGAGGTCATGCAGCGCATGGCGTCGTTCAACAGGGGTGCGCCCAGTGCGGTGGCCGGGTGGGGCGGGCGGCTCGAACGGCTTAGATAGGAGCTGGTCAGGTAGCTGCAGCCGGTGACGTACCAGCCGGATTCACGTACGCATTCTGACGGCATGACAAGTTCTGCTGGCGAGGCCTGTCGTCCAGTATGTGCCTCGTTAAATCCAGCCTGCGCCGCCCAGGCCGTGTCCGCCGTCATGTGCAGGAAAGAGAAGCTCTCTTTATAGATGCGTTACCAAACGAAGCTATGGCACAGCGATCACTTAAGCAATATGTATACTACAAAGTGCAAGCAGCCTGCCTGATCCCAGCCCGGTTGTCGTCTGCCCCTGCGTCCACGGACAGAGGCAGAAGTGCGAGCAAGGGTGAAGCCGGCGCCTGGGCGCGGCGCTAGCTCGGAAGGGGGGAGGAGGTCGCGTCAACAGAGCCCGGACGGCGGCCGGGCTTTCCCGTGCACCGGCCCGGACCGCTGCGTCACAACATCCGCCCAGACGACGGCCCCGACGCCGCGTGACGCATGCTGCCTTCTGACGGCCGCGGATCAGGCGGAAACTACGGGCCTGGCCCCTTTGTCACCCAGCAACACAGCACGCGCCGAACACGTGTGCCTTCCTGAGCGGCCGTTCTGACTACAAGCCAAGAAGCCACAGATGCCATCGTACTGTGTCAAATCCACTCGCTATTTTTCATGGACAGTACTCGCCCGCCACCCGTAACATTCACTGCCATCCTTTTACCATTTTGGCATTTAAGTGCAGTTATGATAACCATCAAGATATATTTCTGTCTAAACTGTGGTTTGGTTTCGTTTATAACAGAAATCATGTGAATGCATATAATATTGACCAAAAAACCATAGCTAGTGGCACTAGTTGGCAGCTCCTGGCGTGTTTGTTCGCCATTCGGAAGCGCTTAAACGCGTTCGTTAAGAGCCCAGAGCCTCCCCTAGCCGGCTTGGGATATTCACCCAGGCATCCTAATTCCGCGATTTAGGTCACCCCCATCCTGTGATACAGATGAGATGGAACGTATGTGTTCTATCGGAGACCACACAGTGAAAACGACGTAGTTTTTGTTGGGCTGTGATTTTCTCGGTAAGAGCACCTTTTTTGTTGCAGACAGCTGCAAGGAGGCTATCTGAAGCTTGTTCATAGCTTCGAGTAATCATCACGATGGACGGCCAAGGTGTGCACAGTTGTCAGACTGGGACCGGAAAAAATCTACTATTTTGTAGCTCCAGCTCCAAGAAACGGCAGCTCGTGGCTGCTGCCACCACGACAAACTTAAGGTTGAAAACAACTGACAACAGCCTTTCAAAAGAAGCTTGCTGAGGGTCGGCTGAATTCGGGAGTGAGTAGATGCCATTGGAGTTTTCCGCTTGCTTCGGTATGCTATGATGCGGCACCATTCGGACCCGTACAGCACCGCTTTCAGGCGCATTACATAAAGTCGCATATTCTGTGTATCGCACAGTGTGCTCCGAATTAGTCTTTCTAAGCTATCAAAGTCTGCGCAACATGTCAGTTCCTTGCGAGTGCAGGCGCGACATGCGTCATTGCCCAAGCTTTGCAGCTTCTTTTCGGCGGCAGATCTCAACGCAGACGGTGATCTTTTTAACCACAGATTTCAAGAGACTGAGTAACCGTAGTTTAATGTAACTCTCCTCTCGCCAAATGCCGAAACATGCCGCTCCCCCCCGCGCGCTCCTTACGCGAGCTGTGGGCCGGCACCGGTATCGAATGGGCGTGAAATCGTGCTGCGGAGGTCGCAACTGTTCAACCCATCGATTCGTGCAAATCTCATGCCCGTCTGTCGCCGTATGTGGTGTTTTTTTCTGTTTAATAAGTGTGCGTATGTTGTCCGCTAAAACGTAATTAAGATTCGACTTGGCACGTCTAATCTAATATGGGTCCCTGAGCAAAACAGGCTTTTTCGGCAGGAAAAACACCAACGTAAATGGCCAATGATCGGAGGCCTTAGACTAAAACAAGGAAAAGACGCTAGTTGCACTAGGGGATGCCATGCTAACAAAACGCAGTGGAAATTACCTCATCGGCAATATCCCTCATATCATTAGATCATAAGGCGGTAATCATAAGGTCACCGGACGAGTTGTTAGCTTGATGCTCATGACACATAATTGGTATGCGCCGTAGCTCTTCTGAGTATGTGCCCGAAGATTGTAGGCATTCAATTAGTTACTGGCCGGCTTATTTCGTCTTTTTCACTGCAAACATAGCTTCGATACATCTGCGAATCCATTAGAAGCTGCTCAACATTTACGTGTTTTACGAATGTCATTAAGCACTTACTCGCGCGTCAGAATATTGTCGTATCCCTTGACAACGATTCTACAATCCCGCAATGCCGGGATGGAGGATGAGTATCGTGTGTTGACGCCGTTTCCTAAATCCGTTAAATGTTCGACGTTGGCACCAGATGAGCCGTTACCTGGGACTTGTTGTCCAAAGTCCAATTTAAGTCCAGAAATGAACCAACGGTGGTCCAAAAAAACTTCAAAAAAATCCGGTTGTCAAAAAATTTACAGATCGGCAAACTTGGTCTTTTGTCATAAAAGCGGTAGCCGGGGAATCAAAACTGAGGAATCAAAACTGGAGCAAACTGCGAATGTTGGAAGAATCATTGATTGCACCCGCATCTCAAGCTTAAATCCCATAGCCTAAGAAATATGTGGCAGTGTGCACAATGCGGGTTTCTTTCTTTTGTTTCGAAAAGAAATATTTTTAGTGCGCTCTATCAGCAACGTGACCATGCTCCGAAATAAACCTGTGATGGAAACGATCAGCAACAAGTTAGTTGAGATGCATACTAATTTGCTACACGACAGAGTGATATCGGCTGTGCCCCTGTCCGTCCAAGTTTCAAAATGATCTTCAGAATTTTGAAAATTTTCAGAGTTTTGGAATTCAATCGGCACCTCTGGTGGGCACACATGGGGTTACAAACCGATGAGGTGGGCTGAGCCAAACGTCTTGAGGGCCTCTAGTTTTTATATAGCTGTGTGCATCAGCAACACTTGGTGTAAGTGACTTAAGACACCACCTAAGGTAGGAACATCACGCAGCATTCCCGGAGCGTTTGGCTCAATTTTCTTTTGACAGGTTACCAGATACCGGGTCATCTTTAGTCACCGGTTGCCCCCTTCCCCTTAAGCATCTGAAACCAACATGTGAAGCATGGTGCGCACACGCTTGGCAAGATATGGCTTGGCTGAACACAGGAAGAGTGTACGATATGAGTAGCTTGCATGTCATGGTGTTTGTTACCCATGACCCAAGTCGTTCGTCACAACATTAGTCATCACACCATCATAACCGCATGTTCACAATTTTTTGTGGACAGAAATTTCGATAAAACTTAAGACATGGCAATCCATTTGCAGGGGGCGTGGATGCTGCCGTCATTTGCACAGGATCTTTGTACGCCAGAAATGAACTGCCTAGTAGCCGTCCCTCTGTCCCACTCAACAAGTTTGACCCCCACAGCTGCTAAAAACGAAACAAAAAATGTCCAAAATGGTCAGCAGATTTTTTTCGAACTAGATCCACCTACCTTTTCAATGGCGTATTCTTGAGGGCACATCAAGAATGTCCTGGGATTTTCCTCTTGAAGAACGTAAGTCCGGTTAGTAGTGACATCTGCCGGGCGCTCGTGGAAGCTGTATTTGCTGGGATCGGGAACACCCACTCCGTCGATGACGAGCGCCAGGGAGCGGTACAGAAGAGCGCCGAACACCACGGCTGAAATGGGGGGTACCGGGCCTCAGTGAGAGCGTGTTCGAGTTTCAGGCACATTCTGGCACCGCGCAGCCCCGCCGCTCTCCAGCCGACGCCAGCCGGCCCGGGTTCGACCGACAGCAGCCGGCCCTGGTTCAGCCGACACCAGCCGGCCCGTGCCCAGCCGACACCAGCCGGCCTGGGCTCGGCCGACAGCAGCCGGCCCGCGTCCAGTCGACACCAGCCGGTACGGGCCCAGACGACACCAGCCGGCACGGGTCCGGTCGACAGCAGCCGGCCCGTGCCCAGTCGACACCAGCCGGTACGGGCCCAGACGACACCAGCCGGTCGGGGCCCAGCCGACACCAGCCGGCCCGGGTTCGGCCGACAGCAGCCGGCCCTGGTTCAGCCAACACCAGCCGGCCCGTGCCTAGCCGACACCAGCCGGCCCGGGCTCGGCCGACAGCAGCCGGTACGGGCCCAGACAACACCAGCCGGTACGGGCCCAGACGGCACCAGCCGGCCCGGGTCTAGCCGACAGCCTGTCCGAGTCCAGCCGACACCAACGAAAACGGTAGTGTCAGCTGACTAGGACTAGGCCCGGGAGTGCAGGCGTCTATTTGTTTTTTAAGGGCCTTGACACCACTAATGCTGGTTTTCCCCGTCCCTTCGCAATATTGGTTTGTCCTCTCCAATATTCTTGGCTGAATATCTAAAAGCACAGGAAAATATTGATCAGCATCGTGTAGCATGAGCAGCGTCTAGCATGGGCTCCCTTAATCGGCCCTGCATCAACGATGTCGGAACAGCCAGCATTCTTATTAATTATACTTAGGTTCTATTGTCGGCAGTTAGATCAAGAGGACAGTATAAGAAACATAATTCATATTTCAGGTTATTCAGCCATCGCAGAAGATCACTAGATAGAATAAGTAACGTATGTGTACGTTTTGTTGCTTTCGATCTGTTGGGCGCTCTAAGTTCGAGAAATGCACACTTAGCTCAGGCATGGGGACGAAGCCACCTTCAGCCTCAGCGTCGACCTAGGAAAGCCGTAGTTTTTTCTAATGGCTTCGGGTTCAGCTTCGACCTAAGACAAGTTGTCGAGGCTGGTTTGTCTTCGGCTTCTGCTTCTGCCGTTGGGAACGGCTGGACCGGTTTTAACTTTGTGCTATTTTTGCGTGTTTGGGTTCAACGCTTCAACGGCCTCGGCCTCGGCTTCAACTTCGGCGTCAAACGTGACCTCTGAATTATGGCTCCGGTCTTGGCCTCGTGTCATCTTGAGCAGCTAGCTTCGCCTCTTTCAAGGTGACTTTTTCCTTGCAGTTGCATTTTTGCGTCGCAAAAACAATGTTGCCCATGCTTTCAGCCCAAAGTCCTTTTAACGTCTCCATGCTGCGACGCGTTTATGGCTTAAACCAAAGGCTAGCGAGTCATTTTCAGAACCAGTTAACAAATGACGAAGGTCAGGGAGTAGGCTGTACGAAATATTGTGCACCTGCATCCTGGCACGCAAGGCGAAGACGATCGTCTGAAAATTTGCCATCCGTAATGCTTACGCTCCGTCTCAAGCATTTGGCAGGTTCCTTATGGTGTTTTCTACTTCCATGCAGTTTTTACAGACGAAGAGCTATTCTGGATTCTCAGAACAACGTTATACACTGGATTTGGCTATGGCTTTGGGTTAGTTCTTTTTACTTGGTGATTTCGGCGTTGGCTTCGCGTTCCTAACCGCACAACCGCTTAATTCTGCTGCGGCTTTGCGGGTAAAAAGCTCAAAATTGCTGGCTTCAATCAAACTTTATTGCTTTAAAGATAGTAACCACTAACGTCATTATTGGCTTCGAAGATTCATGTTCGACTTTGAAGGTAGAAGCCTGATTTCGTTCCTCGACTGACTTGGCTCATAACGTAGGGCAATTAAGGTAATGCGTCATATGTGCGCCTCTGACCATGTGTGGTACCATCATAAGGTGTCATTTTAAGTGCACAGGCCGCGTGATACTGCGCTGGCGGAGCAGAATCCCTACCACCAAACCATCGTGCGCAAAACTCTATCCACTTCCCCCGAAAATCTTCGACTCTTTTATATCCTATATTATCGAACTCCATATGAATTTGTATTGGGAACAGGTGTGCCGATCCCAGAGCTCTGGTTTTTGAAACTGAGGCCTCGCCAAATTATGCTAAATCTCCGATAGTTTTTGGATGAAGACGGTTAAAGAATTTCTTCCACGAAATAACCTGTATTTTGCATATTGGCTGTCATTGCGCGTTAACTAGGAGCTCAAAGGGAATGTCTCACGTTTGAAAATGTTTAAGCAAGCATCTGATAAGATGGAGCACGCTCATTTATAACTATTGGTATACTTTTAAAAAGAAAAGACCGTTCCAGACAATACCATTTCTCTGTTTAGTAAATATGCTCCCCTACATCATTGTTTGATTACGCCATCGTATGTCGCACAGTATTGAATGAGAGCCAATTGACGGTCGTTTCTGGAAATCGTGTTCACAAAAATATGATATGAACGTACCGACAATAACATTGTATTGGTCTTGATTGCCGCACGGCCAATGGAATGGCAGGATATGAGTGACGTTAATATGACATCATGAATGTCAAGGTGACTTTGAATTCTCTTTCAGAGATACTCTCCCCGTTTTCGCGAGCGTGTAGCGCAAAAATTAGAGGAGCGTAGGCCTTAAAAAGGTCAGGATTGTGAAGAGCACCGAAAGGTCTTCAAGATGGCTACTCGAGATTAAAACCCATATAAATGTGGAACACTCCCTTTAAATCTTACACCCCTCTAGTTTCTGAGCTAGACGCCCACGCAAATGGACTATTTCGTGCAAACTATTTCAAGGTCACCCAGACACACATGACACCATAGAAATGTCACACGAGTCCTGTCAACTCTGTTAGTACTAAGCATTCCTTGGTCATGCGGCGTGCAAAGCCGAGACAAATATGCACGCCGAGTTATTTGTGTCTGGCATGCGTGAACATAATTTCTGGAACCAACGGATTTTTTGACACTTCGTATGACCTTGACCTTTACCCTTAAAAGTTAGTTTTGTAAGTGAGACAAAGTTGGACATCATGGGCATCAACATAGCATCCTTTTGGCTGAAACTGCTTCATGAGCGAGGAAATATCATGGTATCTTGTCTTACGTGACCTTGCCCCTAGACCTAGTGAGTCTCTGTAGACGTGATAAAATTTGGCATGACGAGAATCAACATGATTTATTTTTTGTTTGGTTGGATTTTTGAGACAAACGAAGGAATTCCAGATTCTCCAAGTTTGTCCTTTTATTGGCCGGTAGAGGTCAAACTAAGACAGTTGTGAAAAGAATGTATCAGATTTACAGTTACAGTTATTTAATTGCAGGCGCATCCACGCGGTGGTTGTTCTGCGCCCAGTCGTACCAGACAAAACCCACACGCAGTGCAAAGATACACACATACGCATATATACACAATTTTAGTCAAAGAGCCAGCGCTTTAAAACAGTCAAGAACGCCTGGCGCGAGGGGGTGCGGGTGGCCGCCGCAGACTGCCGGTTCCCCGCGGTGGCGTGGTACGGAAAGTGCCACTGGGTGCCGCCCAGTCGGACGCGTGGCAGATGTAGCGAGCCAAAACCGCCCGAAACAGCCCGAGTTTGGCGTTGGGTAGGCTCGTTACGAATAGAGCACGTAATGCACTAGGAGGTTCGGGGACATGCAGCGCCCTGTACACATTCAGACAGTCCCGGTGGTGCACGAGATCCGCGACGCTACGCCAGCCGAGCGCCTCCAGAACAGGTAAAATGTGATCGTTGCGGCGTACACCACTCACTAGCCAGGCTGCAAGGTGCATCACCCTTTGCACCCTGTCTAGTTCACGCTCGGCCGCTCCACCCCAGATGGACCCCAGCAGAGTAGAGGATATAGGGAAGCCGTAGATTTGAACAAGAAACTTCAAAACCTCAGGAATGAAGTGGTGTTGGATTATGAGCCGGGATGCAAGGATTGCATTACAGCGCCGAACGAGAGAGGAGATGTGAGGTTCCCAGGTACGGTGGTGGTCGAGGAGTACACCCAGTACCTTCACTGAAGATGATGGATGAAAGTTTGCGTCGGAGATAGCAATGTCGAAGTTGCCAGTCTTTGTGATAGAGGGTTTGGTGCCGATCAGCACGAAGTGTCTTTTTGGCTCATTTTTAGGCCATTTGACCGAAATCAGTTTTGAAATTACTGAATGAACTCCTCGACGCGGGCTTTTACGTTGGACAGGCCGACGACATCGGAGAGTTGGGTGTCATCGGCGTAAGGTAGTAGATGGTCGTGAGTAGGAAGATGGATAGGTCATTGATGAAGATGAGGATTGGAACCGACAAAACGTTCCTGAGCCACCCCGTGGGATAATAGAATAATCGAGCCTTCACTGACCACCTGCTCCCGCCGCTCAGGTAATCCCGAAATCATTCTGAGGACACCACGCACCATTCCAGCCCGCTGAGAGGACTCCGTGATCAACGCTGTCAAAGGCTTTGCTGAGGTTAATCGTCGTTATCGACGCGACATGGTCGTTGTCGACAGCCCCTGCCAGCCACCCCACGACGACGTCGTCGATCGACGGAGTCGATCAGGGCGTCCTCCGTCGAGAGGATGGACGATGCGGCGTTTGCGACGGCATTAGTACATGATTGTCAAGAGGGTAAGAAGTGAGTTGCGAGCAGACGACCTTCTCGACAATTTTCGACAGAGCAGAGGGAATAGAAATGGGCCAAAAGCTATTCAGGTCTAATCGATCGCCTGGCTTGAAACCGGGGTGACGCGGGCAATCTTCCAGACGGACGGAAAGGAGCGTGATATGATAAAAAAGTTGATCAGATGTAGAGGATGAGCACCGGTTACAGCGAAACACTTTTTAACTGCATAGAGTGGTATGCCATCGACGCCGACAACCCTCAACGCACTCATGTTCCTGATGGCTGCCGAAAGCTGCGGTAGAGTGGCTGGATGTAGGGAGATCGCTGAGGCACAGACACGGTGCGGGCGCGGTCCAGCCGGGGATGTACCCGCATTACCACGCACCGCCGCCGCCTCCGCAGCGATGCGAGGGCCAACGGCAGCGAAGTGGGCATTGGGTGCCCATGTGCCGGGGTCCGGAGGTCCGCCCGGGTGCCCATATCGCAGTTGGGTGTACCACGCCCTCTCGCCGGCTGCAGTCCGCATCGCTTGAGGCGACTCCAGAAATCTCGCCGCCCTGTCAGCAGACTGTTGCACAGGTAGGAGCGTCGCGCGGCGGTGATCAGTCCCTTCACTTTGTTACGGGACCGCTGGGACACGCGGCGCGCCTCTGTGGTACGGCAGCGCTTCCAGGTCTCGCGGGTGCCGTCGCGCTCCTCCATAGCTGCGAAGACTTCTGCATCTCCACGCAGCCATGGTCAGCCGGGCCGGCGTGACGTCACGGTAATGGTCGGGCGGTGAGCATCGGCTGCGACGTCCCACACTTCCATGAATGCGGCCACCTTGCCATCGGCGTGCCAGCGGCGAAGAGCGGCTCCCAATCCGCGAGCAGCAGGCTCAGGTTGAACGCGTCCCAGTCGACGTGTTTCCACGGTCGCGCGGTGGTGGTGACTGACGGTCGGCGCTCTCGAAGATTCGTGAATAATTTAATGAGTTTGTGCGCAAAAACCCGGGTTGAAATCTGTACAACACGCTGAATTCGGATGCGAATACGACGCTAATTTGACGGACATCACGCATAACAACACCAGCAGCTGGCCAGTAGCCCAACACACTGAGCGCAGCAAAGACTTTTGTTGAGGCAGGAAGGCGTAGAGGTGCATGTTTCAAATGTTTGTCGCACCCGTGCCCCCCCCCCCCCCCACCCCTCTCCCTCTGACACAATACAGACGGTATTTTACGATCTGGTATTGGTCGCTCCACGTTTCAGTTGAGCCCCACTCGCATTCAAAAGCATCAAATGATGGCGTGCTCGCATCATCGTATCATCATGGTCGCATTACTATTGGTCGTTTTTAGAAAAGCACCATTTAAAAACTTCCCCACCTTATTTCCTTGTGATTGGCCATCCATTTGACAGCTCTAAGCGACTCATCATGGAAAACGCAATGCTGTTTGATGATGTTTACCAACGATAATCTTTGACGTATCTGACGCAATGTAGCAATTTTCCGTTCGTATGGACGATATCTTACGTGCTTCAAAGGCATTTGTAGCCACCACACATACAGCAGTCGAATTACAGTGTTAAGTACAGATGCTGCGCATTTTTAACACCTGTCGTTGACTTTCAGCAACAAAAATGTTGCACATGGGATTTCTGAACTAAAAATGAAATGCGGAGAAGTCACACATCTGGACGGAGCCTATTTCGATTGAAACCAACGGAACGAAATGATCTGTTATCGATGTTGTCGATTAGTAAGGAGGCGGGCTTATAGGATCCTTACTTGCGCCCTCGACCAACACGAAAACCTTAATCTGCATGTATAGCGTAGAACACTATTTTCCCGCATTACTTGGAGTATTTGTATTTGTATTTGTACAGGTCGCCTCCGCGTATAGCTGTAGGATATATCACTTACTACAACTGGTCCGCTGCTTTTTTCTTTCCAACTGTTTACTTCTTATTCCTAGTGGGACCAAACCCGATTAGCAGACACCGTCGGTGCGTACAAATGTCCACCAAATGGGGGGGGGGGGGGGAGGCAGCTTTGGCGTCGTAGAACATGCCGTAGTGTGTCTTTGCAACTTCGAATGAGGGAATGGAAACAAAGTGCAGCTAGGTCGTCGCATCAGATGTGTGCATGTAAACTGCATAAGGCTGGCAAAAAGCTTCTCAGATAATCGAAGAACGAGACGACTGAAGGTTTGGGCCGTAAATACCTCCAAGCCAAACGGTATCTCTCAGCAAATTGCGCTCCGGGCATCGAAAACATTACTTGCCTCTCGTCAAAAATAAAGTGGGCCAAATTCCTTGTGTGAAAAATGCCAGTAGGGGCAGGGATTAGATGAGACATCAGAATTAGCCTTATTACTCGGAGAAAAATCAAGGGAATGGAAATTAGGTTTGGGTTGATATTTCGCCAACATGCCTTTACCGAAACAATAGCAGAAGTGAATCCCAAATTTTGAATTCACTTCTGCTATTGTTTCGATAAAGGCATGTTGCCGAAGTATCAACCCAACTATACTTCCATTCTCCTGGTTTTTCTCCGAGGAGTATGGCTGATACTACTGTGTGGCCAATACTACTTTTCTATATGCGTAATGTTCCTCGCTAATGCACGGAACAACTTAGGGGGAGGAGTTAGGTCAATGCCAGCCGGTAAGTGTGTAGCATATGTAAAGACGTAACCCCAAAAAGTGAGAAGTACTAAAGCTGTTCAAGGAAAAGGCTGCGAATACACACATTCGCATTAACATTCTTACATGACAATTCGCAATATGTAATTACGATGTACATTACGAAGAACATTCAACAGCTCGTAGTCACCATTTACCTGAGGACCAACAGCGCCAGATTTGATGAAATGACCACCCAGCTACTGGTGCCAGCTGGCGTAACTCAGTGGCATGTCGGCGGTGACCGAGGTCCACCTGGAGCCGAATGATTATCTCGAGACGGGCAATGGACAGTTCTCTCAAACAGGTAACCACCTGCAGGTGGGGTTGCTCACTCACCGGCGGTCACTACCATGGCTGCGCCGCTGTCGGCTTGAAGGACGTCCCGTCTCGAGCGCCGTCGCCGCCTCACCGTCCAGAGACGTACGATTTGTCGACGCGACGCAACGCGCACCTGTGCTTCGCGCTGGGGTAGCCGGCACAATGGGACGAGGTGGCGTCGGCCCGGCCGGCCAGCTGTCGTCCTGTCCAACAAGGCCCAACCTCCCTCAGAACCGTGACACGAAGAAACGAGCGCGCCCGATGCCGCACCGGCCGCGGGGACCGGGAATCCAGCCGGGCAAACTAGGGCGGGCATGGGACGAAGTCCAGCCGTGGGGACCGGGAATCCAGCCGGGCAAACTAGGGCAGACACGGGTTTAGAGTCCAGCCGCAGGTACGGGGGATCCAGTCGGGCAAACTAGGCAGACACGGGTTAGAGTCCAGCCGCGGGGACCGGGGATCCAGTCGGGCAAACTAGGGCAGACACGGGTTAAAGTCCAGCCGCGGGGACCGGGGATCCAGTCGGGCAAACTAGGGCAGACACGGGTTAGAGTCCAGCCGCGGGGACCGGGGATCCAGTCGGGCAAACTAGGCAGACACGGGTTAAAGTCCAGCCGCGGGGACCGGGGATCCAGTCGGGCAAACTAGGGCAGACACGGGTTAGAGTCCAGCCGCGGGGACCCGGACTGCAGTCGGGCAAATTAGGGCAGACATGGTTCAGAGCCCAGCAGCGGCGGAACGGGGATGCAACTGAGGGATGGAGGCGTAGTCCTACCTGATTTGTAACTTCTGTAAAAAAGTTGTATTTCCGTTCTGTTCGTATTGCTATTCAATCATTGACTCATACATTGACGCTGAGTATTGCTTTAGAAAGTGATGGATCCAAAGATGCCCCGTTTGACAATTTCGGAGTGTAGCGAGCTTCGGAAATTTCGATGTAATGCTGTTTAAACAGCACTATGGGCCCAAAAAGGAACATAAGACGCCAATGACGTAGGTGACAGCACCGATACAGCCTACGGCCCGGTGATGAATTCGAATTCACACGTGGTAGATGGCCAGCAACAGATGGCCAGCCACACATGCCCAACATTGCGAGCAGGCCCAGTTTATTGTGATTCATCGACCACGCAACGCTGATCTGTAGAGCAATTTTCTGTGACATTCATAGCCGCGGGTGACAATTTCGACGCGCGAATCAAATGAAAAATACGAATCAGAACAGCATGGCAGATTTACTTGCTTCATTGAGCATCGTTATAATTACAGTAATTTCGCCGCAGGCTGACGCGTGTGGTTTTCACCCGTGTGTGGTGGTATATTACCTCACTACACTGGCGCTGAAGCATACACCAGTTTGCATAAGCCATTCCGAAAATGGCGAAAAGAGTTGGAAACCACTAAGGCACTAGATCGGTGACTCGAGCCCGCCTTGACCGGACCGGGTTGGCGCTGTGGAAAGGTTATCTTGCTGAGGCCGTAGATATCCTGCACGTCGACTGCAACAGCGGCTGCTGCTGCTGTCTGCCTCTCTTGTAAACCTCGCGCCGCGATTTGTGGGCTGGTCATGGGCAGGCACGCCCGGCTTCATATGCGCACTGAGGAATTTCCGGAGCTCACCATCATGCTTACCTCTCGCATTCTCTGTCACCTTCCTCTGCAGCCCGCCTGAAGTTCACATTCTCCACGTGGGTGCTGCAGCTCTGATTGGTACTGATCGGTGATGCTAATGTATTTGTATTTGCATTTGAATTTGAATTTGACCTCAGCTGATACCCCACATACATACGGGGCTATTACGTGTCATTAGTCTGACAGATAAAACAGTATGTCAAAAAACGACGGAAAGTGATAAGGGATAAAAAACACAAAAGCATGCTCTGATTGGTATCACCCGATGGTGTTCTGAGTGGTACCGGCCGGTGGTGCTCTGATTGGCATCGACCAGTGGTGTTCTGACCGGCACCCCCGATGGTACTCCGACTGGTTCCGGTCATTGCATGGCGCTCCGACTGGTACCGGTCGGTGGTGCTCTGACCGGTGCCGGCCGATAGTGCTCTGATTGATATTGCCGATGGCGTCCTGATCGGTACCGCTCGCTGGTGTTCCAACTGGTACAGCCCGGTGGCGCTCTGACCGGTACCGGTCGGTGATGCTCTAATTGACACTGGCCGGTAGTGCTCTGATTGGTTCTGACTGGTGATGCTCGGTTCGATACCTCCGATGATGCTCTGACTGGTACCGCCCGGTGGTGTTCTGATTGGTACCGGCTGGTGGTACCCTGTTTGGTATCGGGGAGGGGAGGCTCAAATACTCGTGTTTTCAGGTACTTGTTGGTTGCGTGTTATCTCTTCTTCAACTGACATATTATGTTTG